ATAAGTGGCACATTGTCAAACACCTCATTTTCGACGAGTTACAGAAGCTTGTGAAAGTGGAAGCAGAACTCGCGCGTGGCTCTGTATACTGCCATTCGTGGTGGTCTCACAACCCTTATAACACGAAAAAGATATTCCAGAAAATCTTCGAAGGGCTTGGTGGGTTCCAGGTTCGGCACGGCAAATGGGCAGGAGATAGCGACGAGAAGAAGCCTGTTGATTTCAGCAAAATCGCAGCCGGCTGTGCGTTTATGCGAAAGATGAGGCCGTCCTCAAACAACGAAGGGCAATTCGCAGAGTGGGTGGACATCTGGACCAAGAAGCCAGAGAGCCCAATCTTGGATTGGTCAGAAGCAGAGTGCAGATCGTTTTTGGAATGTTGTGCGAGAGGCGTGTCCACGGCCAGGACGATTGACTTCAATTTCACCACTTACAAGGATTTGAAACCGTGTTTCTTGGACTTGGTGCTGAAAGATAAGATTGCGACGCATACAGAGCATGGAATTCTATGGGTCGGAATTTCGGAACGCGGTAAAAGCTTGCGTTCAAGGACGCACGGTTTCATGGTGTCCAATCATTGGATAGCGACAGAGAAAAGGGATGACATGCAACCTGCTGTGGCGACGGCCAAATTTATTGATATGTTCAGAGGCGAAAGAAACACCGTGTTCAAACCGTGTATATTTGATGACGGAAAGTTCTATCAGCTCGGCGCCGACGTTGTGAAAGCTTTGTTGTACCCCGCGGAGGTAGACGCCCTCCTATACGCCAGATGGGGTGGATCTGGATTCGACATGTATTCGTGCCGCCAGGCAGTAAGTCAACAATTCGACAGCAAATTGGCCAAGAAATTTGCACGGAAAGATAAGATCTCCGACAAGGATTGGCAGAAGCTTATTATGCCGTCAATTGATAAAGAAGCAGACGAAGAGGACTGGGTAGCATTCAGGCGTCGTTTCCACACCATCGTCGTCACTCGCGACGGCATCATCCACCGCAATGCTACCAAGGAGTTAGTGGACGTCCCCGTTATCCATTGGTCGGACGGCGAAGAGATGGATATATTCAAACCGGAGGTGAAAATCCTTATGCAGAAATGGAAAAAATGGACAACTGAAGGAGGTTCCGCCGAATTACCATGACGATGTAAAGTGGTCTTTGGAATATTTGAACCGGGCTATGAAGGGCGAGCCGATTCCCTCGTCGAGAACGATCAGGGCTGCATCTGCGCGGGGTGCCAGAGGATTATTCAATGATCCAGCAATGTCGTCTCAGTCATACGATCATCCTTACTTAACAAATGCCGGGTTTAGCTCTGTGGATCGCAGCGCGAATGCAGCTCCGATTTCGTTGTGTGGTAACCTCGAGGACGTGCAAGAGATGCAGCGCATTCTAGCAATGAAGGCAGAGCCTCACAACGGATGCGAGTTTGACCTGACTGCTGATACGCCCGAGAGGAAGCGTCACAAGGCAGAGGAACTAGAGTGTCCTGGCGCACCCAAGAAAGAGAAGAACACGGCCGAGGCAGAGCTAGCCGACGAAGACGCGGACATGGAGAGAGCGTGGCAGGAAATTGACAGGGAGGAACTGGCCCGCACTGTTCATGCGTCTCGTGTCAACGCGGGAATGTCTGCGGGTTCCCGCCCAGGCAACATCGAAGAGGAAGAGGACCCGTTTGGTCATCAACAGGCGGGCATGTAAGAAATGCATCTTGCATTGAAAGCGGTTCGCACAAACTTTCAAACTCCGCGATGCGAATCTGAAGTCGGCTGCTTGCTGACAACTCTGCACTTTATGATCTAATTTCGTACCTTTGTGTAGTTGAGATTTTGACTGATGGGATAATGAGTTGTGGTTTTCAGTGTTGTCAACTGCTGGTTGGCTGTTCTTATCGTTAAGCTTGCTGTTGGTTGTGTCAACTGATGGTTGACTCTTCAGTTCCAACATTGCTTCCGCATTGCCATGCAGATGGCAAAGATCCGTTGATTTGTTATGTCAACTGCTGGTTGACTGTGCCTGGCGCCGAGCAATGCTTTCCGCCTTCGTTCATTGACAGTTGCCAATCGTGTGGCTTAAAAACAAGAAGATGATGCATGTCTCAAATGTGGGTATACTATTGCCAACATATCATTCTCTTTTGACCCAAAACATCATCATTTTGCATAATCATTCATCGCTCTCTTTCATATTATTCCTTCCTCTTTCCTCCTCGTTTAGTTTCCTATTTCTTCGTCGATCCTCATTCTTTTTCCCTTCCATGATCCCTCTTCTTCCCCCGCGCACTCATCATCGTCGCTCTCCTCCTCGTCCCCTTGGGGCAAAATGTACCCAGTTCACGAGCGCGCCGCTCGTGCAGGGATGCAGAAATGTCTGGTGCTAATGAAAGCACATCTCCCCTGTGTCATCCTCTTCCTGCACTGTCATCATCCATCATTCACGTTCGTCTTCATATTTCTTCTCTCGTTCCTTATCCTCCCTCACTCTCCTGGCCAGAGGCTCAAGAGGGCATTGTCGAACGCCGACGTCTGCTGGACGTCCTTATCTGCAATGGTAGAACAGAGTATCCCGATTATTTGGCCGGATATAGACTCGTGCAAAGAGTGCGGCTGGGATTTGGAAAAGAAGCGAGGGCACTGCTGGACGCATGATGCCACTGTCTGGAACGGAGCTGAGTGGTGCGTGGTGCGCCACTCAACGAAGCTTTGCACGAACGGGTCTTGTGGGTTACGTTGCAAACTAAACTACATTGCGCGTTCTGGTTCGAAGGAACACATTATGACGAAAACTGACAGCAACCCAATTCTTTTAGTGCACGCACAACTTGGTTTCACGTATACTTACCTCGTGCAGATGTGGCACCGCATGTGTCGCGCAGGCGTATCGGCGGGAGCCGAGGCAGCAGTAATATCGTTGTCGTATCCAGACGTCATCATCGGGAATGCCAGTAAAACAATTCAATCTGTAAAGGACAACCAGCAACTAAGCGGAGCCATTTTGCAAGCTATATTTTGCTTCCTTCCCTTGCAAGAGGGGGTCTTCGATTTCGATATAAACGATCCAGTGCCGGACGGTGACGAAGCTTTCGACGCGGACAACAAAGGCTTGCATGTGATTTTCAACGCTGCCCGAGACGATCCGTTACACAAGCACCCGCGCGGCAAGCTTGACGTCGTAACCGATGGTAATTTTCAATGCAATCGGAAGCTTGTGGAGACAGAGAAAAAGTATGCAAAGCAAAACCTTCCTGGACGTCCTAATACTAAGAGGATGGAGAAACTTATCAAGAAGATGCAGGCCACTGCTAAAGCAAAGGCGAAATCTACATCGAGGTGCAAAGCGGTTACTCAAATTGAGAAGATAAAGATTGCGCGCACTCAAACTGGGGGGCTCTACGCAACCGTGAACATGAAAAACCGCAAAGGAGGTGGCAACGAAATTCTTCACTTGGGAGAAATGTTGAATGGTGAGAACACTGCATACAAAAAAGAATGTTTGGTTGACATGAAGAAAACGAAAATGATTGTTGGCAAGTACGCGTGCGATTGCGGATGCGTGGTCGCCAAGCATTTCGAAGGAACGCTGTGCGATAAATGCTATTTGGATGGGTATCACAGCAAGAAGCACAAATGCAAAACCCCGGCCATTATTCATAAAAAGACGTTGAACTCTCAGGCGGCGGAACAGTTGTGGTCGCGTTTGGACAAATTGACTTGGTTGTCAAAGATGAAGCGCGCGCGCTACCGATGCTTCTTGTACCATTACTGTTTATGGCGCAACAAGTTCACCGCGGTGGATTCCAGGAAGGACCATCCAGGCCCATGCATGTCGCTGAGAAAAGTAAAGAAGCGCACGCCGAAGCAGAAGCGCGCGCCGAAGCGCAAGCAGTGATATTTGCCCCTTGCGTTTGTCAACTGCTGGTTGACAGCTAACATTCAGGGGCATTCCTCGCGTTTGTCAACTGCTGGTTGACAGCTAGCAACCAGGGGCGTTGCGTAGATGCACAGCGGTGTTTGGCTGATCTGCATTCAAGCCATCGTTGCGCGCAGTGTTTGTTTTTACTCCGCTCGAGTTTGTCAACTGCTGGTTGACAGTTAACATCCAGAGCGCAGTGCAGATGTACAATGGCTTAACTGTTTTCGTGATTGCCTAAAAACGAAGCATGCGTATCATATCACATCACATCATATACCATCATATCATATCACATCATTATTCATATCATATATTTATTCATTGTTCACTATCTATTCGTATTTCGTCATATTTCGCATTCGTTTAGCATCACCCGCTCTTTCCTCCTTATCCTTCATCTTCTTCTCTATCCTTGCGATTTCAGACCTCCGCCTGCTTTTCCTCCTCCGCTCCCTCCAAAAGAAATTCCTTTGTATTCCACAACAATGGGAATCCCTTTGTAATCCGCCACAAAAGGAATCCCATTGTATTCCGCCACAAAAGGAATCCCTTTGCACTCTGCCACAAAAGGACTCCCTTTGTATTCCGCCACAACGGAAATCCCTTTGTATTCCGCCACAAAGGAAATCCCTTTGTATTCCGCCACAAAAGGAATCCCTTTGTACTCCTCGACAAAAGGAACCTCTCTGTATTCCGCCACAAAAGGAATCCCTTCGTACTCCGCCACAAAAGCAAATCCCGTTGTATTCCGCCACAAAGGGGATCCTTTTGTACTCCGCCACAAAAGGAAATCCCTTTGTATTCCGCCACAAAAGGAATCCCTTTGTATTCCGCCACAAAGGGAATCCTATTGAAATTGATAGAGGTGCTGGAACCATTGTGTTTTCACAGCTTTTTAGAGAATTTTTATTAAAATCATTAGTTTCGTATGTGCCTGCACAGAGATTCAGAGAATTTTAATTGAAAATATTGTTTTTTTTTATGGCCAGGCACAGAGATCACAGAGATTTTAATGATTTTCCAATTATGGAGAGTGGTTTTAATGAAAACTCTGTGAAAACACAAGGGTTCCATTGTTTTTCTAATCAGAAATCAAAGGAAACCTTGTGTTTTCACAGAGTTCTCATTAAAACCACTCTCCATAGTTGGAAAATCATTAAAATCTCTGTGATATCTGTGCCTGGCCATAAAAAAAAAAAAAACATATTTTCAATTAGAATTCTCTGAATCTCTGTGCAGGCACATACGAAACTAATGATTTTAAGCGAAATTCTCTAAAAAGCTGTGAAAACACAATGGTTCCAGCACCTCTATCAATTTCAATAGGATTCCCTTTGTGGCGGAATACAAAGGGATTCCTTTTGTGGCGGAATACAAAGGGATTTCCTTTTGTGGCGGAGTACAAAAGGATTCCCTTTGTGGCGGAATACAACGGGATTTGCTTTTGTGGCGGAATACGAAGAGATTCCTTTTGTGGCGGAATACAAAGAGGCTCCTTTTGTCGAGGAATACAAAGGGATTCCTTTTTGTGGCGGAATACAAAGGGATTTCCTTTGTGGCGGAATACAAAGGGATTTCCTTTGTGGCGGAATACAAAGGGAGTCCTTTTGTGGCGGAATACAAAGAGGTTCCTTTTGTCGAGGAATACAATGGGATTCCTTTTGTGGCGGATTACAAAGGGATTCCCATTGTTGTGGAATACAAAGGAATTTCTTCTGTGGTGCAATACAAAAGAATTCCCTTTGTAGCGGGTTCCCACCCCTCACATCCCAAGGACGACCCCCCACCCCGCAACGAATGCAAAAAGCTTCGTTGTAGGTCACTCTGTTTGAGTATGTTTTATGTTTCGCCCGAAATCCCCCTGTAGGCGGACACGCCCGACTCAAGCCTACTCGCAAGCGTCCGAAAAACACTTGTCAGCTCTGATGTAATTGATCGTCGATCCCGCGCGGGGGATCCAGGCCATGTGCGAGTAGTTACTTTTTGCTAGCAGTGGAACGCGTTCGTCGATCTGTCAGAGGTCCGGCGGTGGCCGCGGAGGGCCTTCGGTTTTGGCCCCTTCCCCCTTTGCGCTCGGCGGTGGATCGGCCTGGTCCTAAAGCCTCTTCCCCCTCTTCCTCCTCCCCCCTCTCCCCTCCCCCTCCCCTCCCTCCTCCTCCCACCCCTCCCCCTCCTCCTCCACCCTCTCCCCCCCCCTCCCTCCCCCCTCCTCCCCCCCTCCCCCCCCCCCCCTCCTCCTCCTCCTCCTCCTCCTCCTCCCTCCTCCTCCTCCTCCTCCTCCTCCTCCTCCTCCCTCCCCTCCTCCTCCTCCTCCTCCTCCTCCTCCTCCTCCTCCTCCTCCTCCTCCTCTTCCTCCTCCGCCTCCTCCTCCTCCTCCTCCTCCTCCTCCTCCTCCCCTCCTCCTCCCCCCGCGCTCTCCTGCGAGCGCTCCTGAGGCACCCTGTGCTCGGAGGCGGTGCTTTCTGTTTGTTAGAGGTCTGGCGATGGCCGCGGAAGGCTCTTCGGTGTGGGTCCCCCCCCCGCTACGATGCGCGGGCATGGCTGCGGCAGCACCTGCATGGCGGGCGCACGCCTGGGAGCGCCGGTGATCGGTCGCGAGCGCCTGGGAGCGCTTGTGAACGCTTGGAAGCGCCCCCCCCCTTGTCGGGTATAGCCAGGACCCCAGGTAAGGGGAGACCGTTAGTGATTGGGCCCTGGAGCCCAAAACATGGATCGGAATCGCTCCACCAGGTCTGCCGTAGCTGGTGTTCTTCGGGTGTTGGCAGCTCCGGTTAGTAGACTGGCTTTTCTCCGTCGGAGGTCTGGCGATGGCCGCGGAAGGCCTTCGGTTTTGGTCCCCCTTTGCGCTCGGCGGCGAATCGGCCTGGTCTTAAAGCCTCTTCCTCCTCCTTCCCCCTCTCCCCCTCCTCCTCCTGAGATCCCTCCTGAGATCGCTCATGAGATCGCTCCTGAGGTCTGGCGATGGCCGCTGAAGGCCTTCGGTTTTGGTACCCCGCCTTTGCACTCGGCGGTAAATCGACCTGGTCCTAAAGCCTCGGAGGTGTATAGACCTCCTACCCTGACACGTCGATTGGCGAATTGGCCGCTTTCGGTTCGCGAGAGGGCGTCGCGGCCGTCATGTTTGCGAGTCCAGGTCCGTCGGTTTCGGTCCTAGGCCGTTTTCACTATGGGCAGGTTTACTAAAGGGAGGTTTGTTCACCGCGTATCGGCGGTGAATCGGCATGGTCCTAAAGCCTCTTCCTCCTCCTCCCCCCTCTCCCCCTCCTCCTGAGATCGCTCCCGAGGCACGGGCAGCAGTAGTCGTCGTAGTCGTAGTCGCAATCGTAGTCGTGGCTGTCGTCGTCGTTGTTGCGCGGCGGGTGCCGCGGAAAAGCAAAGTTAGTTACCCCCTATTGGTGGGACCCCAGTCCTTCAATAAGGCCGCCGAAAAAGAGTTATCCCCTTTGGGAGGGGGGTCTACAGATTTCTCGCGATTAACTTGTGAGCGCCTTGACGCGAAAATTCGCGCACCAGGACGCGGCGGCGAGCGTCGAAGGCTGCCCCCATTGACGCCCCTGCGCGACACCCTGCAGACCTGACCACCCAGACATTCGAAACCGATATCCCAGGTTATCGGGCCCGCCCGCCAGCGGCTCGCGAAGGCGTAGGTGCAATCGAAATGGTACGGAAAGAGGGGGACGAATACGAACATGGCAGTAGCTCTTGCCCATTTTGTGCAGGACTCAGCTAACACACGTATTGGACCAGCACGCTTTGAAACGCAGCACGTCCCGTGTTCAGGACGTCCGTGCCAATACGCTGCGTGTTCGCTCCACGTATTTCGGCAACGCGCAGAGGGGGGTAGGGGGAGGGGGGAAGCCCCCCTGCTTCTTAGAAGACGCGGGCCTTCTCTGTAGACGTGAGGCCGAGGCCTTCTAAGAAGCAGGGTGCTTCTAAGCAGCCTTCCCCCCTCCCCCTACCCCCTTTTGCGCGCCGCCAAGTATTGGACCACGTCTTGGCGAAGGCATCGCGTCGGACCTGCGTGTTCGGCCCGCGTGTTGGGCTCCGCATCGATGCGCTGCGTGCTGCGTGTTGCGTTGCCGCCTGAGGCCCCGCCCGCCCGCGCCCTGTCTCCCCAACAAGGGCTACCCGCGTCCCGTTTAGCTCTTGACCGGAAGGGGCCCGCTCCCGACCCGCAGACCCCAAAGAAATGTTGCGTGTTGCGTACCGGGGGCAGCTGAGACTCGGCATGCTTTGACGTGCGAGGCACGAGCGGCGGGCCCCGCTTCCCTCACAGTGGCGCCTCGGGCGCGCCCCGTCGCCGGGGCCAGGCGGCGGTGGTTCTGCCTCCGTGCTGCGGGCCTGGCGCACGCGCAGCAGCTCTGCGAGTCGGTACCCCTTACAGCGGGGGCTCGCATCAAGACCTCCTACTCCTCCTCCTCCTCCTCCTCCTCCTCCTCCTCCTCCTCCTCCTCCTCCTCCTCCTCCTCCTCCTCCTCCTCCCATATGCTTTTCGTCGGGGGATCCTGGGTTTCTTTGCTCCTCGCGCTGCGCGGCGACTTCCCGCACCCGCTGGAGAAGCTGCTGCGTTCAGGGTGCTTCAGGTTTCCCCTCAGGTGCACCTCGCGCACGGGTTCTCAGGGTCGGGCTTCTTGCGAGGGTTTCTTGCGGCCGCGCCCGCACTGTAGGTCGGGCCTGTCCCTCCACTGGAGGAAGATTCAACAAACGGCCATTCAAGGCAGGGGACGATGTTTTGAGTATGCTTTCACGTTGTTGGTGTATGTTGTTTCACCATCCTTCATTCTTCGCCCAGAATCCGCCTGTGGGGGGACGTGCTCGACCTAACGGCACTCCACGTGAGCGTGTGCCTGAGCACCGCGGGGCGCGACGCGCGAAGCTGAGCGACCTCGGCGCAGCCGGCCTCCGAGTCGCCGCCGCCGCCGCAGCGGGAGCGGCCCCCCCGCAGCGCATGTTCGGCATACACTTCGAGCCGCTGCCCTTCGGGGGCTTCGGCTGAGGAGCCAGGGGCGGCGCCTGCCTGCCTGGGGCCGCGGCACGCGCGCCTGGGAGCCTCGCCTCTCCTCGAGGCGCCGTCGTCGGAGGGCACTCGCGTGCGCCAGCGTCGGGTAGCCGATGGGGCAGCGCCGCTTGAGCGCCGATGTAGCGTCGATGTGGCGTCGGTGAGCGCCGATGGGCGTCGATGGGCGTCGAGTGGCGTTGGTGAGCGTCGATTCGCAAGAGCCGCCAAGGTGGCACGGGGGCGGCTCCCACGAGCTGCCACCAGACGACGGCCTGCCCGCGGGAGGGGCGCGGGCTGTGCTCGAGGGAGGGCCAGGGCTTCGGGGCTCCAGTTGTCGGGTCTTCGGTTTTGAGGCGGAGGGGGAGGGGAGCGGGCAGGAGGAGGTGGAGGAGGCGGAGGAGACGGATGAGGAGGAGGAGGAGGAGGAGGAGGGAGAGGGGGAGGGGAAGGAGGAGGAGAAAGAGGAGGAGGAGGTTCAGGGCCAGGTTTCGAGGAGGGCCAGGTTTCAGTCACCGAGCGCGTTCCACTACCCGCAAAGTGGCTACTCGCAAACGACAGACAGCACATGTCTTCCTCTACGTAATGGATCGTCAATCCCCCGCGGCGGATCCAGGCCATCTGCGAGTAGTCACTTTTTGCGGGTAGTGGAACGCGCTCGTCTATTCAGGTCTTCGAGCGTTTCCATCGATTGTGGGCTGCTCCCCTGCCTTGGGATGCCTATCAGCAGCTGCGCCTCGCCAAGGGTGTTCCGGGGGGGGTGCCTAGATGGTCTTGAGCGGCCGATGCATGCTTGAGCTCTGAACCAAGAATGAGTCATCTTCTCGAGTATGTTTGGACCACTTCTATATGTCTCTTCCAAGGTCTGCCTGCAGGGGGGCATGCCCGACCTAGAGCTAAGACCCGGAAGCGAGGGGAACCGGAGGAGGTCCAGTCGAGACCACGGAGGCCCTCCCTGGCGTTTTTTGTTCTCCGAGTTTGGTAAGAAGCCCTTTGGTGAAGATTAGAATTGGGTCGGGCGTGTCCCCCATACAGGAGGAATATCCAACAATAGTTTAACAATAGTCTGGGAACGATTGTTTGATTATCTTTCTGCATGTGTTTGGGTATGTTATAAGTCTTGTTTTTAATTGTTCGTCCAAAATCCGCCTGCAGGGGGTCATGCCCGACCTAAAAATTGAAAAAAACTTGCGCTCTGAAGTGCAGAACGTTGTGGAGGTCGGCGCTCTGGCGCGAACGGCCGAACAGCCCAGAAGGCGATACACTTTCCCGACACGGTTGGCCGCCTCGATGATTCGGCTGCGGGCGAGGGGGGTAAGCGAGAAGGAGAAGGCCCTCTGAGAAGGCCCACTGAGAAGGCTCGGAAGTCCACTGGCCTTCAGAGAAGTTTTCTAAGCCTTCTCCGGAGACACGCAAAACTTCTCGGAAGATCCGAGGGCTTCTGGGAAGTCCCGCCGCCTTCTGAGAAGGACTTCTCCTTCTCACTCCCCCCTCGCTCGCCGCCGAACGATGCACGTTGCAAGGGGGAGGTTGTGCGAAGACGTCGAAGCAAGATCGACGTCCCGAGGGTGCGCGAAGACTGCCTTGCTTCGCGCAGCCCGGCTTGGGCTGTGGAATCTTGGATCAGCGGCACCGTAACGGGTACTTACTAACGGGTACTTTGCAATTTTGCCGAAAGTTGCCACTTTGGGGCCTCTTTCTGGCAATGCAGCGTTGCCCGCATCGGGAAGGGTTGGGCTCGCTGGGCCACTGGCCAAAGTACCCGTTCGTGGAGTCCCCGTTTGTGGGGCGCCGGTTGGAGGGGCGCCCTTCTCCGAAGCAGGCGCCGGGGCGCGAAGGTCGCCGCGAGGCCGCGCACTCGCGGGGCGCGGCGCGCGAAGCGGGGCGCTCTCAGGAGCCCCGTGCGGCAGGTTCGCGCCGTGGCGACGGGCGGCGACCCCGCCGCCGGCGTTCAGCGTTGCACGCTGCTTGCGACCAAGAATCGGTCGGCGTGGGACGATCTGGCGTTTCGGGAGCGGCCGACGATCTTTCAGGGTCGAAGGACCCCCGTGGTGTCAGGAGCCAGCGCCGAAGTCGGCGCGGCACGAAGCTGCCGCACCTTGCTAAGTCGAAGAGCGAATCGTGGCTGAGCTGGTCCTGAAAGCGCGTTGCGTCCGCAATCTTTACAGGAATGCGCCCGATGACATGAACACGCAATATGGGATGTCCGCGCGGCTTTCTTGGATCGGCGCTGGACCACCCTCCCTGGCGCGCGGAGCGCGCCAGGGGCTGATCCAGCAAGGGGTTCCAGCGCCAATCCAAGAAATCCACGCAGACCTCCGAGCTGTTACCGTGGAGACCCATGCCAGAAAACACCCTGCTTGCCTCCAGGGTGCCCTGGGTCTCTCGGGTTTCCACGATTTTGCGATGGATAGCGTGACGTTCCCAGGTCAGAAATCGAGGGACGTCCTGGGGTCTCAGGGTGGGGTCTCTCGTGGAAGGTTTCTTGTGGTGGGGCCCCTACTGCATGTTCACGCAGGGTCTCAGGATGGGGTCTCTTGTGGTGGGGTCTCAGGGTGGGGTCTCTTGTGGTGGGGCCCCGCCGTCGTGTGGTTCTCTGGGAGGGCCCGGGGGCCGATCCTGAGCGGGCGTGGACGGCCCGGGGAGAGTCGCCGCGGTCTGAGACCGCGGCTTGAGCAGGGACCGCCCGTCTCGGCATTCCTATAGTCCTACCGCGACATGTTCTTAAAACCCATAAGTGCTCTAAGAACAAAATCGATGTTCTTATAACACAAGCCCGATGTGCTGAAACAAGACAGGCTCCGCCAGAAATGCTCTGAGAACACTTCGCGGAAGCCACAACAGTTTCTTGGGACATTGTTTGGTAGGGCTATAGGTACGCCGGGACGCTTCGCCACGCTTCGCCGGAACAAAAAGTGTCATTAACATAAAAATTCGGAGGTCCGCGCGGACTTCTCGGATCGGCGCTGGACCCCCCTCCCTGGCGCGCGGAACGCGCCAGGGGCGGCGACTGAGGCGCCGCCGGGGGGCCCCAGCGCCGATCCGAGAAATTCGCGCGGACCTCCGCGTTGTGATGTTTATGGCACTTTTTGTCCCCCTAGTCTCGGCTGGCCTTCCTCCCGGCGGCTCAAGCAGTGGCGAAGCGCCCTGGCGTGCCTATAGCCCTACCAAACACTGTCCCAAGAACCTTGTGTGGTTTCCGCGAAGTGTTCTCAGAACATTTCTGGCCTTCCTCCCAAAGGGGGGGGGGGAGCCCACGCGTGCAGGGGGCGCAGGGGCGCGGAGGCGGCCGCGCTTCGCGCGCCGTGGCCCGGGGGAGGGCCGCGAGGGCGCGACGAGCACGCTTCGGGTTGGCCCAAGAGTGGGTCCAGCGAGGAGGAGGGGGAGGAGGGGGGAGGAGGAGGAGGAGGAGGAGGAGAGGAGGAGGGAGGGGAGGAGGAGGGGAGGGGGGAGGGGGAGGAGGAGGAGGAGGAGGAGGAGGGAGGAGGACAGGGAGGAGGAGGAGGAGAAGGAGGAGGAGGAGGAGGAGGGAGGACAGGGCCGCGAGGACGCAGGGCGCAGATGTTTTGTTGGATTTTCGCCTGCAATACTTTGCTTACGACACAATGCAAGACAGTTCTGGCGCAATACATTTGCAGTACAATTGCCCCAAATCTATTGCACCACCCCCTTTCAGCTAGACCCCCTTTTGGGTCACCCAAAACGCTGCGTCGGCTTCGTGCGTCGTGGCCTGAGCCGGAAAACTTCGGAGCCGTCTGGGGGTACGAGGTGGCCCAGCACTGGCTTCTGGCGAGCAGGAGGGGCGGGCAGGTTCGACGTGCGGGGTCCGAGAAGGTTTCCCTTCCCGTTTCGGCACCTGGGGGCCAGTTTCGGGCCCCGGGACCGTCAGAAACGGATCGGGGGTGAAAAATTGCATCAGGTGGACCCTGGGAGGGGTCGGGGGATCGATTGTGAGCCCTCATTCCCCCCCTTCCTGGCAGATTTCCTGGGGCCCCTGGCCGCCTCCAGGCGCTTCGCGCGTCGCAGCCCAGGCAGGCCAGCTGCCCTCCTCCAGGGTGGGCCGCCAGGGTGCGACGAGCACGCTGCAAGCGCTTCGCGTGGTGCGACGCACGGAGTTTGGGGACAGGGCAGGGCTGGACCTAAACAGTGTTCTTGGTGATTTCGCGTTGGCCGGTTTCGTTTCGATTTCGTTTTGCGGAAAAAAAGGCGGATCCGAGACAAGAGCGAGCGAAAGCGAAAACAAAACGAGAACGAAACGCACCGTTTTAGGTTCAGCCCTGCGACAGGGCAGGGGGTCGCCAGCAGGGTTCAGGTTTGAGGGCCGACGCTCGATCAGGTTCGTGCACGACCCTGGCCCTGGCGGTGATGCGCCAGCACCGATCCCGACCAGGCCGGTCCCGGGCCCCGGACTGGTGCCTGCGCCTTCCTGGCCGAGCCAGGGGGGGCCGCGTGCACCAGCCTCGCACGGGCCTGCCCCTCCCCGCCGGGCCCACACAGGAGGTACAACTGCGCTGTCGCGGGGCTTCCCTCTTCCCCCTCTCCTCCCCTCCGTCCCCTCCCCCTCCCCCTCCCCCTCCCCCTCCCCCTCCTCCTCCTCCTCCTCCTCCTCCTCCTCCTCCTCCTCCTCCTCCTCCTCCTCCTCCTCCTCCTCCTCCTCCTCCTCCTCCTCCTCCTCCTCCTCCTCCTCCCCTCCTCGTCCCTTTCGTCGTCCCCCTTTCCAGAGCTTGTGACGCAGCCTGCTCGAAGAGAGCGCCGTCAGCACCGCACCTTCGAGCACGACTGCGCGCGCACCGCTTCTCGTCGGCCGTTGGAAGTGGGTTGTGTTGCCACTTCGGGTTCTAATCCACAAGCGGTGCTTGCACTTGGCTTCTAATTCCGTTTCCCAGGAGTTGAGCTCTTTTATCGGGCCCGCCGCCGTGTTGCCGCCGTGTTGCCGCCGTCGCCGCCTTGTCGCCGCCTCGTCGCCGCCCGTCGTCTGGGCTCGTTTGTCGGGTCCGCCGCCTTGTTGCTGCCGTCGCCGCCTCGTCGGCGGAACAAGACTTGCACAACATAGATTGCGTATAACATGTTGCACCACAGATGTTGCTTCACATAGGTATTCCAACACGGAATGCGCACCACATAGATGTCAATCCATGTGTTGCGCCACATTGATTTCACAATCTAGATTGCACACCATCGATTGCACACCATAGATTGCGCGTCATAAACCGCACGAAATACATTGCCCCACATATTTTGCACAATACAGATGGTACCACACATGTTGCACCACATTGTATACCCAACAAATATCGCGCAACATCTATTCCACAGCTTCTATATACATTGTACAGCATCTGTTGCACATTATAGGTTGTACATCATAAATTAGACCGCATCGACTGCTTCACACAGATTGCGCATATTGCACTACATCGCTTCGTTCGCCTTAAAAGCGCCTTGGCGTTTTGTTAGCGTTTTCTACTTGTGGTTCTTGACAGGCTGAGCACGCCAAAAACACGCTACGTTGTTTCAGCGTTTTCAGGGCTGTTGTCTTGGGGCTTTCGTTGTGTGTTCGTTAACTTGTCAAGCTGGAGACGCTAAACCACTGGTCTGGAAATGCTAAAACAGTGCATCATTGTTTCAGCGTTTTTACTTTCTGTTGAGACCTGAAAACGCCCCAAGAATGGTTTCCAAGACGCCGAGCTGAAAACGCAAAAAAACGCTCTGGGCATATTTAAGGCGAACCAAGCTACATCGATTGCATCACATATGTTGCACAACGTATGATGCAAACAGATATTGCTTGACGCAAACTGTTTGGGACCCTCGCCGGCTAACACCTGTTTGAAGGCCTTCCCTTTTCAAGAGTCGAAGAATTTTCTTGCTTCTTTCTCCTTTCTTGGCTGAGGGTGGGCCGAAACCCAGCCTACCCTGGACGCCCCCCCATTCCTCATGTCTCCACCCACATATTCCGTTCGTCTTGTGCTCCTCAGGCAGTGCTTGCACGAAGGGGCCATGACCTGGGCTGTGAAGAACCGTGCCTGTGCAGCGGGGCACGCTGTGACTGGCCACGGGCTACAGGGTCCCGCCGGCAGTGCCCCGTGTGTCGGGGCGTTGCCCTGGTTGCACTGGGTCCTGGCAGTAGGCCGTTGGGTCCCATCTTGAATTGCCGCATACAGTCGGGGCCCTGAAGAAGGAACCCTGTTCGTTGGGGAGGGGCTCCGCGTTCCTGAAGTGTTTCACCGCTTGCCTCAGGTTTTCCTTTATGCTTCCGGTAGGAAATCGAAGTTTAGCGTATGGGAAAAAGGGGCCTCGTTCCTTATTTAGGGTTCCTTAGGTCAACGGGAGGAGGGAGGAGGGAGGAGGGGGGAGGGGAGGGAGGAGAGGAGGAAGGAGGGGAGAGAGGAGGAGGAGGGAGGAGAAGGAGGGAGGAGGAGGAGGAGGAGGGAGGAGGGAGGAGGGAGGGAGGGAGGAGGGAGGAGGGAGGAGGAGGAGGAGGAGCCCCGACTGTACAGTGTGAGGGTGCGGCGGCGGTTGCGCAGGGCTTCTCACCCGAGCCGCCCCGCTGTCTGCACGCGCGCTCCCGCCCTGGGGCTCCCGCTCACAGTGCCCCGTGTGTTGAGGCGTGGCCTCCTCCTCCTCCTCCTCCTCCTCCTCCTCCTCCTCCTCCTCCTCCTCCTCCTCCTCCTCCTCCTCCTCCTCCCCCTCCCCTCCTCCCCTCCTCCCTCTCTCCCCCCTCCTCCTCCTCCTCCTCCTCCTCCTCCTCCTCCTCCTCCTCCTCCTCCTCCTCCTCCTCCTCCTCCTCCTCCCCGTCCCCACCGGGCCACGGTGTCCCCCTGCAGGCTTAAGTCGGGCCTGCCCCTCTGCAGGGGGAATAGCTCGAAGGAGTCAAACAATAGTCTGGGGGCTATTTTTGAGTATTGTTTGGCATCTGTTGATTGTGTTTTGGCTACCTTTTGTTTTTCGTTCAAAATCCCCCTGTATGGGGGATAGGCCCGACCTAACACTAGGTCCTGGCCACAGGCCACTTGTCGCAAGTAATACCTGCCTGGGCGAACCTGCAAGATCGTACTAAGACCTTCCTGGGCGAACCTGCAATGTCATGATAACACCTTCCAGGGTTTGTTTGACATGTGGTATCTCAGTGTCTTCACTCTGGCCTTGGCATTCGGGTGTGAGGGTGCGGCGGGTTGTATAGGGCTCCTCGCCTGAACTACAGTGTAAGACGTGCGCCAACGTGTATGCATGTAGGCGTGTCTGTACGCGTGCGCCTGCATGGAGCAAAGCTGGCGTTCATCCGAGGCCAAGTCTCAAGCAGTGGCGAAGCGTCTTGGCTCACTTGCAGGGCCAATCGAAGAATGCTCTACGATTCTTTTGTGGTCTGCACGCAATGTTACTAGAACCTGTCTGGTTGAGACCTTGTTGTTTTAGCACATGGGGTTAATGTTCTAAGAACATTATCTTGGTGGTAATAACATGTAAGGGTTCTAAGGACATTTCGTGGTAGGCCTGCAGGAAAGCCGTGACGGCCGGTCCCTGGTCAACAGCCGCAATGAGACAGCCATCCGTACCGAGGGTTTAATTCATCTTCGCGCCAAGCATGCACCAGTCATGTTGTGCGAGCGTAAGGAGCTGGTCTAAGCTCCAGCTCCTTCATGTTTGTCTAGGCATTGCCGACTGCGCCCGCTCCTATTCCATTGGGCAGCGGCAGTGTGCCCGCATTTTCCTTAAGGGAAGCATTGTATGCACGCCCCTCTCTCTCTCTCTCTCTTTCTTTCTCTCCCTCGTCTGTCTACTCCAGGTCGCTCAATAAGCGTGGGGGGGGGGATCGCGTGGGGGATGGGAAACCGCTGTCCTTCGGGGGCGTGGGGAGGTTGGGGAGCGAGAGGGGGTGGGTTTGGGGCGCGTGGGGGGGCGGGCAAGGGGCGTCGGACAGGTCGGCACGGTGGGGGTGCTTATTGAAGGATCTGGAGTATCATCTTGTGTTGTTGTGTCTCTCTCTCTCTCTCTTTCTCTCTCTCCCCCCGGTATATATATATATATATAGATATATATTTATATATATATATATATATATATATATATATATATATATATACGTGTGTATATAAACACGTATACATATGTGTGTATATCATCTCTCCTTCTCTCTTTGTTGTATTGTTTTTTTTATTTCTGTCTCTCTCTCTCTCTCTCTCTCCCTCTTTCTCACTCATCAAGTTATTCCTGCCGGCGCTCCCCCGCAAGCGACTGCGCCTCCTCCTTCCCCGTTGGCACCGTCTCCCAACACTCTTCCATGCCCTCTCCCTCGCCCGAACGGCTTTTCCTCCCGTGCCTCCTCGTTCCCGTCAGCTCCTCCGACTGGGCCCTCCTGCCCCACTCCTCGAGGCCGCCCCCGATCCCGAGAGGCAGCCGTGCAGGAGGAAGGCGGCCAAGGGAGGGGAAAGCGACGGCGACGACGATGACGACAACGACCACGACGACGACGACGACCACGACCACGACGACGACGACGACGACGACGACGACGACGACGACGACGACGACGACGACGACGACGACGGGAGGAGGAGGCAGCCGAGCAGAAGGGGCGATGAGGCAGGGCGGGCGGGAGGCGAGGGGGAGAGAGAGAGAGAGGGAAAGGGAGGCGAAAGAGAGAGAGAGAGAGAGAAAGAGAGTGAGAAAGGGAGGCAAGAAGGGGGGGAGAGAGAGAGAGAGAGGGAGGCAAGCGCACCCCACAGCCGGTGCGCGCCAGCACGGCCGACCCGATCCGATTCCGACTCCGTGCCGGTGCGGCCCGATGCGGTGCACGCTCCGGTCCGATCCGGCGTGCCGCTTCGGGGTGGAGCGCTCCTTGTGCTCCTTCTGGAACCCACGGGCTTAGGACACGTCGTGCTCCTCCTCCTCCTCCTCCTCCTCCTCCTCCTCCTCCTCATCTCCTCCTCCTCCTCCTCCCTCCTCCTCCTCCCCTCCTCCTCCTCGCGCCCTCCCGACTACAGTCAACCGGCGCGGATCCTCCTTGTGCTCCTCCTGGAACCCACGGGCTTAGGAATGTCGTGCTCCTCCTCCTCTCCTCCTCCTCCTCCTCCTCCTCCTCCTCCTCCTCCTCCTCCTCCTCCTCCCCCCTCCTCCTCGCGCCCTCCCGACTACAGTCAACCGGCGCGGATCCTCCTTGTGCTCCTCCTGGAACCCACGGGCTTAGGACACGTCGTGGTCGTGAATCTTGGGGCAGGGTTCGACCGTCCCGGCATTCCTATAATTAGGCCTACCACGACGTGGTCTCAGAGCCCAGAGCTGTTCTAGGAACAACAGCACGGCTCGTTGAGCACGAGCCCGACGCGGTAAAGCAGGGCAGTCCCAGCCTTAGATGTTCTAAGAGCATCTCGCACGAACCACACAAGGTTCTCAGGACACCCTCTGGTGGGCCCATAGGCAAACGCCGGGACGCTTCGCCACCGGTCGTGGGCCAGCCGTGACGACCTCGCCGAGGGTCAAGTCTCCTCCGGCAGGGCTGCAGAGCTCGCAGCGCCCGCACCGACCCCGCGCGTTCAAGAGCGCGGCCCTCTGCCCAAGGGGCCCCCCGGGGTGGCGCGGGCCCACGGAGCCCCTCCCCGGCAGCGGAGCGCCGAGCGGTGGCAGACTTGAGGAAGGGCGAGGAGGAGGAGGGCGAGGAGGAGGGCGAGGAGCAGGAGGGGGAGGAGGAGGAGCAGGAGGAGGAGGAGCAGGAGGGGGAGGAGGAGCAGGAGGGGGAGGAGGAGGAGGAGGAGGAGGAGGAGGAGGAGGAGGAAGGAGGCGGAGGCCTGCGCGCGCGTGGGCCTGCCCCCCCCCCCCCCCCCCCCCCCGCAGAGCCGCGCGGGTCCCTTGGAGCTGCGCTGGGCATCCTCCTCCTTTTCTGCACTGGCCAGGCCTTCTGTGAACACATATGGCGTCTTGCTCCTCCTCCTCCTCCTCCTCCTCCTCCTCCTCCTCCTCCTCCTCCTCCTCCTCCTCCTCCTCCCCCCTCCTCGCGCCCTCCCGACCACAGGCAACCGGCGCGGATCCTCCAGACAAGTGGCCTCTCTCCTCCCCCGGCAGCGCCTCCGACGCCGCCTCTGCCGCCCCTGCCGCGCGCCGGCAGGCAGAAGGCGAAGCAGAGGCATAGGCAAGGGGGCCAGGGAGGAGCAGAGCGGCAGGAGGCGGGGACGGCGAGGCGTTCCCGGGTCTGCTGGAGTGCCTCCTGTGCCGCGAGATGTCGCAGGCCTAGAGATGGACACCAGCACCAGTGTCGGCGGTGTGCCTCCACCGAGGGAAGAAGATGCCGATCTCGGTGGTGGTGGTAATGTTCTGGCTTCCAAGGTGCCCGAAATACTGCCACCAGCACGGAAATCTAGGATCATCTTCCCCAAGCGGAGGCAGCCCCCTGTGCTGGTGATGGTGCCAATTTCTAGGCCTCCAAGGATGATCCCAGAAGCGAGGGCCGCGAGATGCTCCAGTATTGCTGGACCGCGTCCCGTGGCAATCCCAGGCATCCGGCGTCTCGATTCTGTTCTAGACGCGGGCCCCCGACCTTTCGGCCACGTCCCCAGGGCCGGTTTTGTTTGCATCCCGGGTAGGTTTGCTCACGGTCTCGAGGCCTGGTGAGGTTGGTGGTATCCAAACCAGGTGGTGAGACACCCGGTGGTGACCCCGATTCCCAAAAGAAATAATTCTGGGTCGCCACCGGGTTGGGGGACACGCGGTCGCCACGAGGTTTTGCGTTTCCTCGGCCAGCCAGCGCTCGAAAACCATTACCCAAATCGCCCAAAACTCACCACCGGGTGTTCTCACCACCACGTTTGGGGACCACCAATGAGGGCACCAGGAGGCCGAAGATTACGAAACACCTCCGCGCCATTCTTTTCGAGACGCCGGCTGTCTGTCCGGGGTCGTAACACGGCGCCCCTCTGGAAGCGGCGGCAGACGGTGAATTACCGGGCCCCCACGACGCCGCGCACGCCTCGCGGACACGCCACCCTCCGGAGCCCCCCCCTCCCGCACGTGCCCGCAGCGCGTGGGCTCCGCGGGCTCGTCTCGCTTGCGTGCAGCCCGCGAGCGCGCGCGCGCGCGTCCCGACGGGGGCTCCCAGGTG